ATCCTCCCACCTGTATTACATACACAGGCCCTTAATTCAGCTAATTATACTTCTTAGCGGTTGGTACAAAATCTTCGTTACTGTATTTCATATTTAAATACAGTTTATGACACGATTTCTTGAAATTGACATAACCATCGCGTATTATTTATTAAGAATATATTATATTTTCGAAGCAAAGTCTAAAACGGTTGAAAACGAAGCGATCTATATATATTGTATAAGTCACCATCTAAGTAACGTTTACTAACCACTTGTCAAAGACGGCATAATAGTCATGCGCGCTATCATTGAAATCTACTACAATCTTTAAGATCCGATTGTTTCATTTAGCTGAATATCAAAGTCGTGTGTTCAGTAAATAACCTATATAACAATGTATGAGGTGATAGGAGAGTGTTACCCACCCCAGCTTTAATCTAATTGGCTTTAGTTCAAATTTTCAGGTAGTCTGATCATAGTTAATAGAAGGGAATGGTTATAAAGGCGGAAAACATCAAAGGAGCAAACAAAGAGTTCAAGATTTATGTAGGAAGGTCCATGACAGCGCACAATCTTTTGTTTTCGCTCATAAACTATGGATGAATTATGTAACCGAAACGTTTCTATTGGTTAGTTTCTCAGTCAGTAATAAACAACAATTATGTTTTGTGCACCGTCAAGATCGAAAGCCCGAACAAAAAAATACAACAAAGAACTTTGTCGGGTTTCATAGCCATTCCCCTCTATTAACTATAGTCTGAAGGGTCAACCGTCTTCTCGTGCCTAACCTCCAGGAGGCTCTCAATGAGGTTAACCGTTAGCCGTAAAACTGGCCAAAGATTTAGCCGCTAGCAATGAAAATTGGAAGATTTTAACCGTTAGCCGTAAAAAATGTTGACCGTAAAAAAATTTAGCCACGGAAGTGGAAGTCTTCTAAGGCTAACGTAAGTCTTCTAAGACTTTCACTTTCGTGGCTTAAAAAGATCTTAAAAGAAACGTCGTCGCTTAAAAAGAAAGTCATTGACTGCTGAATTAATACACTTGATCGATACTCAATACATGACTAATATTCGACCCACAGTTGACCGATATACCACCGACAGTTGACCGCTCTATCACCGACAGTTGACCAATGCACCACCGAGATATGACCGACTCTAGATCGATAGCGGTAGATATATCGACCGACACTCCGCCGATAGTTGGGCGCTACATCGACCGACTACCGAACGACTATCGACAGACTATCAACCGAAAGTTGACCAACTGTCGACTAACTGTCGACTGACTGTCAACCGACTGTCGACCGGTTGTCGACCGATATATCGGTCGAGTATCGACCGACTCTCAACCGATATATCATTGCTATATCGGTCGAGAGTACATACATAAACATGATCTCAGTTTTCTTTGCGCGTCATGTGGAGCATGCACTCAATCGTGTTCTGTAATAGCTTTCATGTCGGGCTAATAACTGAATTAACTTAATTTGCTCCCGTATTTACGATGCATTTGATCAAATATTTATATTTGTTAATTTATATTTTGAAAAATTTTTTTTCTTTTTGATAGACTATTTAGATTCTCCTTCCAAACTGTAATGTTTTACTGATTTCCTTGTTAAATATTAAGACAAGTTGATTTTTCTTCAAATGAAAGCTAGTGATTTATTGCAAGCGTCGATCCGTTCAATTAACTGCTTTTGAATTTTAGGAATCCAATTCATCAACTGGTTATGATTGTCATCTGCTAAACAAAATATGATCAATCTTTAATTACATCAATTGAATGTTTTCAATCAATTTTATTTTTATCAAAACTGGTTTGGTTCTGCATGCGGCTGCACGCATCCAAGTATGTGTCTGGTGATAATTTATGTTACTATATGGCAAGGTAGTCTTACATGTAGGTAAATTCGAGACTTCTCATTGGTTCCAACTTGATGAGGGTTTTGCCATATAGACCATCATCACACCATTCAGACAATCATAAAACATGCATTGTTTTACTTGGAATCCAGAAAATTCAAAGTAAATTAGTTTAGTCCAAGTGACATTAGTGTATGACTATTACCTTGCTTTCCTGAGCTACTAAGGAATATTGGCACTACGTCACTCCTATACTGCCACAACCTTGGGCCAATATTCCCTAATAAAGCCCTCGGGCTGGCGCTTGACGGGTTAGTTAGAAGTTATAATTGACCTTTGCAAAAATGATTTCCACTGTACATGTATCTCAGGCTATTTTGAACTCAAGATCAATTTCTTTGTTACTCTGTGCTTATTGAGAATTTCCGGGCAGGAAGATATTTTAAGCATTTAAGGATTATATGATATTATATGATAAAAAGCAGTCTTGATCATCAGGATAATTAAAGTTAGCATTAAAAAAAAATTAATTTTGCGCAAAAAGCAATGTTAACATGATTGCAAAATTGATTCGTTTAATATATACTGCTCAGTAAACTACAAAAATAAGCACCTGTACAGTATTGAAATCCATTTCAACAGAGATCAGCATGCATCAGTGTATATATTTTACTGTTTTTCCAGCGATAAGTGTAACAGTTGAACTAACACCCATCTATATGAATATGGGCGTCGGTTGAACTGAAGGAATTTCAATAAAAGACCCACATTATTTATACGTTTTGACTAGCAATTCCTATTTAGAAATCAAATAAGAGAATTTTACTTTGGTTTTGTAAAATTTGTTTCCTACGAGAAAGGATTCAGCATAAACTCTCCCCTCTTGTGGAGACATGGTGGCCTCACGATTTGTGAGGTGGACTCAGCGTCAAGAGGTCTGCATTTGTAACCTGGCTGGGTCAATGTGTTCTGTTCTTGTGCAACACTCTTTCCTCTCACCGTCCATCTTTCCACCCAGGAGCATAAATGGGTAGCAGAAATTAGTCAGGGAAGCTTGATGAAATGCTAGGGGGGATGGGGGGGGCTACCATAGGATGGACTGGCATCTCATTCAGGGGGTGGGTAGTTACTCCTAGTCGCTTCATGTGAGGAAACCAGGATTATAAGCTCAGGGCCACTGCTCAAATACAGACTATTACCTAACTACCTACAGACTCTTTGAGTTTAAATAATTTAAATTGCTGCTGTTACAAATTATATGAACTTGCAACACAAAGAAGTTGATGTTTGCCCAATTTATCTCAGTCAATTACAAATGTATTTTATAAATCTTAAAATATATTATAATAAGAAGTAAATTGCTGTTCATTTAAAATAATAATGCTTGTTTTCTTCACTATATATATATCTCTTGTTCTTTCCCTACTTTTAGTATGCCATTAATATTAATTGCTTGTGATTTTGTGTCTATGTATCCCTCCCATTCTCAGAAGAGAAAAAAATACTTATTTTGCTACTGGGTAATATGTTGAGCTAATGTTCATTAGCATTTGCAACCATCTTTTTTCAGGCCAGGAGAACTTAAAACAGCAACTTCTTGTAGGAAGCATCTTCTTACAGTTGCTATGGCTACAGGAGGAAGTTCAATTAAAGTTCCATGTGAAAATGAAGACTTACCCGACGAAGAAAATGCACCAGATTTTGATGAGGACACTATACGAGGTGAGTTATGTTCAACTTCGGCTTCAGTTATTGTTAGAACAATTTCTATTCCACCAGTTTCAAGAATTTAAGTAGATGTAGACAAGGATACATACACTGTATGACCACTTTAAAGGATATTTGACCAGCCATGATTCTCTTCTATGATTACATTATGCCGTTCATTGAGAAGGAATTTTCAACACACAAACCTTTGTTATATTCTTTTCTAAAAGTTCAAAGCAAGGACACAAAGTTATTAATAATACGTAAAGACTTTATTTGATCATCATACAACATCCATTTCGTAAGTTTGCATCATTATAATGTACCATCATCATCATCTTCTTCCCCTTATAATGCAGCAGTCAATTTGAAAGCTTCAACATCCCCTCGCTTCTCCTCGAGCAACCCACGGGCTTGCCTGACTGGCATTGAGAAATTTGAATCAGAAGTGTCATGACTTTCCATTAGAATACATGTGTTATATCAATGAATATATAGGTGTTTAAGGTAGACAGTGCACGTTCACTAACAAATGGCTCAGAAGAAAAAAAGGCGCATAAGGTCTAGGTTTTAAAGCTTGGTCAATGTGCTGAAAGTCACAGTTGCTAATTATTTTGTTTTTTACATAAAAATTTGTGACTGATCTCGAAAAGTTTAAATGCCCAGAGGTTTGCTTTAAATTGAATGACGCTTAACTCTCGTTATTATTATTACCACTGTTGTCACCCACATTATTAGCATTATGATAACTTATAATCTCATCTTCTTTATTATCATTCTTATCATTTAAATCCTATCTATTTGTCGATGGGTAATATTGCTTCTGGTTTTTATGATTGCAACATCTGGATCTTATTAACTCAGTAACTATCTAAATGTAATTAAAGCAGTAGACTTATAATTATGTCAACTCTCTCTGATTATCAGAGAGTCTCACAGAAAAAGAACGATACTCTGGGCCCCCCATATGGGTCATCAAACCATCAAGATAAAATAGGATTTGGGTCGGTTCATCGCAGAAATATAACATTTGAACTCCAGGTTTCCTATATCCAATGTTATTATGATTATCTTAGGGTTTTTATCTCAATTTTGTTGATTGCACCTAGATTGTTTCAAAGTATAGGGGATTACACTTTCTTCTAAGCAATAACCACAACAGCAACTTAGTCTGGACTGGTTAAGCTTTCGACCAAAAAAAAATCTCTCATACAAGTTAACTGAGAAAGGTTTGTCCTGTGAGGGGGATGGGGAGGGGCTGCAGATGTCATCTAAGGTTTTCAGGGGATGGGTCAAGTCAGGCAGGTGCAAAAGTGGCCGCTAGCACAAAAAGAAAAATTCTGCAGATTTTAAATCTTCAGATCTTGGCAGCTCTGCCTATACACTAATTAACTACCCACAGACTTTGACAAAACCTATTTTTTTTTTTTTTTTTTTGCAGCCATGGCTGATTTTCACAGGAATCAGGGTAATGAGGCCTTCAAGAAAGGAGATTTAATAAATGCTATTCATTTTTACACCAAAGGAATTAAAATGAACTGCAATGACAAAGAACTGAAGGCCAAACTGCACAACAACAGGGCTATTGCACAACTTAAACTTGGTAAGATGATGAGAGATTTTTTATACATTGTTTTTCTCTTTTGAAGCTATTGGGCTGTCAATAGTAATTTTCTGCAAAAGGTGATAATTTTGAATGTATGCCCAAAAAGAAATTCTCCGGAAAAATATATGCCTTATCATACACATCATACATATCATCATACATAGAAGTAACGTACCTCTTACCCCAGATATCAATGAGCATCGCAAGCTTTTTCTAAAATTGATGTAATCGTGGCAGGTTTGCTACATGTACAGCTAATCAGAGATATTTATTTCAAAAACAGGAAATCACCAGGATTCACTGAGGGATGCAGAAGCAGCCATTCAGTTGATGCCAAATTCCCTCAAGGCAATTATAAGAGGTTAGATATGTTAGCTGCGCTATATTAATAATAATAATAATAATAATATAGAACTCAACACTCTAAGGTTAAATGAGGTTAAATGAAGTTAAATCTTGTCTTAATTGACTTTCATTAAGAGGTCAAGACCGTCCTGATGTTCATTTGAATCCAGCTCTTGACTGCTATGCCGTGACTTTCCATTATGATTAGAATATTACTCTGAGTTAGATGAAGAACTCAATGCTGGATACAAATCAAGGCAAAATTTCAACACGAGTATTTTAGTTTTCTTTCGCTCATTGAATTAGGGACAGGTGTCAGATATGTTTAGTCCACTATTAAGCTGTTTTGAAAAGAAGGAAGGACTTGACTTAACTCAAAACTGTAAGAAAACCATTAACTCGATCATTCGTCAGGTATAACTCAACTTCAAGTGCTATAATACATGTTTTAATAATGTAACTAGAGACGGCATGTGTAAATCTTATTCTTGGTGAACTTCAAGCCTTTGTTTGAGTCACTTCCTAGGAATTAATTATTAACTCTTTGTCTTTGATTTAATCAAATAAGTTAACTCAAACTAAAGGGAAACTTAGTTAATTTCAAATCAAATTTTTTATTTTGTATTTTGATTAAAGTTGAAATTAACCTAGTTCTAAAAAGGTTTTAAAACTAAAGAATGTACTATAATTATAAAAATTATAAAAAAATGGGTTTATTTTTCTGTTTTCATATTACATGTCTTATATTCTATCTCTATCTCTTAGTGATTTTGTGTGGGAATTGTCAGTTGCAATTTAAATGTTCTTAGAAGTTTCAATTATCAAAAGCTAATCTAACTGAAATCTAATAGGGCCTGTTCATTCTTTTCCCTTTGGTTTTGTTTGTTTTTTGTGTTTTGTTTTCTGGTCTGTAGTGATTTAGCTTTCAATGGTTTCTAGTTAGAGCTTGTTATTAAAGCTATAGTAATTATTTGCTTCTTTGTGTCGTTGCCTACAGGAGCCATTGCCTGTGTTGAACTGAAGAGATTTACAGAAGCAATCACTTGGTGTGATAAGGGACTAGCTGTATCCTTTCAAGGAATCTTTAATCTTTAACCATGGGTATAATGGAAATACTCCATAATTTGACGTTTCAAGGGAGAAAATGCAAAGAAGGGTATTAATTACGATGGCAACTTGTGATCTCATACTTTAAGTGTGTGTGATTAAAAACTGTGGGAAAAGTTAATACCTCATGACTTAATAGTGATATACTCCTTTTAGCCATGACTTAGTCATACTATCCATGCCACAACTGGTACATTAATTTAGTTAAAAGACTAATATTAACCCAGTGTATAAACGGTGCGTGGATAGATGATCTCTCAAAATGAGTCAGTAAAAGAAGTCTGGTAATGTTTAGATATATCATTTTGATTTTCTTGCCTTTAAATTTTTTTCCACCACTTAGTGTAACTGCCACTGGCGACTAATACTAACTAATTCTAGCGCAATTTTTAACGCGGAGCCAAACGACACGGTACGGTTAAAACTGCACTAGAATTAGTTAGTATTAGTCGCCAGTGGCAGTTACATCGTTAAAAATTTGCGATGCTTCAATGATGTCTTCGGAACGAGCACCTGAAGAATTGGACGAAGTAAATCCGCGAACAAGACCTAGAAGACCGAATACGACTCTCGATTCGGATGGAGTTCGTAACGAAAGGATTCGAAGCCTTAAGAACACTCGAAGAGGTCACATAGCAAACGTTAATGCTAAAGTTAATGAAGTCATCGAATTACTTTCTGACGGAAAAAATTTACAAGAAGTAAAGGAAAAACTTACAACCTCCAAAGAGGCCTTTCGTACGTTGGGAGAAGCGCACAGAAATTATGCAGCGGAACTCGTAAACGAAGAAGAGAAGACTAAGTGCATGGAGTATTTCAGCCGCGAAGAGGAGAAGTTTACTGAAATCTGTCGACAAGTACTAGACTGGATCTCGAGAGTCGAAGAAAACCTTTTGACTGTTTCACTTCAAGTGGATTCCGAAGTAAACCCAGACGATTCTGTTAGCTGTGCGGATGTGAAAACTTCCTCCAAAGCTTCGAAGATTTCAAGAAGCTTAAGTCGCGCCAGCTCACGCGCCAGTCGCACATCATCTCTCTTACTAGCCAGGGCAAAGAAGTTATGCTATGTTAAAGAAGAGACAGGAATTGGAGGAGCAGAAGTTCCACCTAAAGCAGGAAGAGTTGCGTCTTGATTTAGAAGCCGAGATTGCAAAGACAGCGGCAAAAGAACAAGCCATGGCAGCTATAGTAACACAGCCACCCCCTTCCATGAATCTAAAGCCCGTGAAGTTGGAGAGGGAATTTAATCGCCAAGAAGAATTTAGTCCACCTCCGCGCGCGCAAAGCCATACAGCTTTAAATCCACTGGCACCCGAATGGCCACAAGCCAGAGCTGCTGTTTCCGTCCCGAACGTGCCCATCGCGAGCGAAAGGTTATTTGATGACCAGAGTACGTTGCAACGAGAACAAAATGATCTGCAGATCCAGCAGAATCGAATCGTGGAAATGCTGGCAGCCAATCAGAACAAAAGCAGACTTCCCCAGCCTCGTGTCCCAATATTTTATGGCAATCCTTTGGAGTATCACACCTTTGTTCGTTCCTTCGAGAGCTTAATCGAATCAAGAACGTCTATTAGTACGGAAGGACTGTATTACTTAGAACAGTACACTGCCGGGGACGTAAAGGAGCTTATACGTTCGTGTCATCATTTGCCACCCGACGAAGGGTACCGCGAGGCCTGCAGGCTGATGAAGAAGAAATTTGGTGACGAGTTTAGAATTGCGTCTGTATACGAGTCCAAAGTATTGAATTGGCCTCCCATTAAGCCCGAGGATGGAACAGCTCTCAGTAGATTCTCTATCTACCTAGCTAGCTGTAGAAACGCGATGAAGGGCAGCCAGTATTCTTCCAAGTTCGATCAGCCGGACAAGATTCAGAGACTAGTCCTCAAGCTTCCATACAATATGAGAGAAAGATGGCGTCGGCTTGTAGATGACATCATGGAGCTGCAGAAAAGGCCGGTTAAATTTGATGACGTCATCACCTTTGTTGACCGCGAGGCTAGAATAGCTACAAATCCTGTTTTTGGGAAGTTTTCAGTGGACACGAAAGTGGTTACAGACGCCCGATTTCGCAAGGGCTCCCGGAAGACCGTCCAGACACCTGATAAACTAAGCTTTTCCGCACATGTTGACACCACTCTCAACTCCAAGGCAGGCACAAAGTCAAGTACCACTTCCAATGATCCTATTGAGACCCCTTCTTCGGATGGTATCATGTGTCCCTTATGCAATTTCAGGCACGAGTTAGAAGTTTGCAGATCTTTAAGACGTCGCCCTTACCAGGAGCGCATTCAGTTCTTATCGTCCAAAGGTCTCTGCTTTGGATGTTTGTCGCGAGAGCACCTGGCGAAAGTCTGCCCGGAAAGAAAATCCTGCAAGATAGATGGCTGTCCTAAAAAGCATCCGACCGTCCTGCACACACAACCTCGGGAAAGACCCAAAGAGGACACCGCAGTCGGAAGTGGAATTGGAGTTGCTGATGGCACACCACAAGTGCGCAACGGCATGGCATGTATTAACAACGCCTCCTGTAGCCTCACTGGGGCCGGATTTTCTCGGACAGGCATGGCTATCCTCCCAGTCAAAGTCAGATGTAGAGGAAGCGAGAAAGCAATCACCATATACGCCTTTCTAGACAACGGAAGCAGTTCTACCTTCTGCACAGAGGCTCTAATGAGGCAACTCGACATTAATGGTCCTAACACAAAGATTTCCCTCACCACTCTAGAGAAGAAAGATAGCCTGGTTGACAGTTTTCTAGTGCATGACCTGGAGGTAACCAATTTAGACGAGAACTACATAGTAAAACTTCCCATTTTGTACAGGAGAGAGATACCAGTTTCAAAGGACGATATATTGTCACAAGAGGACGTCGACAGATGGCCCCACTTAGACGGTGTTTACCTACCAACTGTTAATGCCGAGATTGGCCTGCTGATTGCCAGCGACGTACCAGAAGCCCTGGATCCACTAGAAGTGAAGAATAGTCAGCATGGTGGCCCTTACGCTACTAGAACTCGCTTGGGCTGGGCAGTTAATGGTCCTTTAAAGCGCAATCGACGGGGTTTGCGTACAACCAGTTTCTTCGCTAAAGCTGACACTGAGCTACGTCAGATGGTCGAAGATTTCTATAACCGCGATTTTGGGGAGTCCATTGCTGATAGCAAGACTGAGCCGTCCCAGGAGGAGCGCCGCTTCATGAAACGTGCGGAGGAGTCCCTCACGTTGAAAGATGGACACTATGAAATTGCCCTACCCTTCAAAGATTTAAAGTGCCCAATTCCAAACAACCGTATTCAGGCTGAACAACGCGCCAGCTGGTTAAAGAAGAAGCTCGAGAAGAGTCCCGAGTTACTTAAAGATTACACAACCTTCGTCGAGGAGCTTGTCGCAAAGGGGTACGCCTGAAGAGTTCCCCAGTATCAGAAGGTGTCTAATTTCGTGGGAAAGACATGGTTCATCCCCCATCACGGTGTATACCACCCCCGCAAGCCTGGGAAAATTCGCGTAGTATTTGACTGCTCTGCTAAGAACAAGGGAAAATCACTTAATGACTTGTTGTTGAAGGGACCAGACCTCACAAATTCTCTTTTGGGGGTCCTCACCAGATTTCGTCAAGAGCATGTGGCAGTCATGGCGGACATCGAGGCGATGTTCCACCAGGTAAAGGTTCCAGACACTGACCGTTCCTTTCTCCGCTTTCTGTGGTGACCGAAAGGCGATTTGTCCTGTGCACTGAAAGAATACTAGATGTCAGTTCACTTGTTTGGTGCCGATACTATACCAGAACCAGAGCGCGCACAGACCATCAAGGAGATCAGCCTCCAACATGTAGTTGAACGAGCACTCGGCGTGCAATGGAGAGTAAACACCGATGCATTTGGCTTCGACGTCAATGTCAAAGAAAGGCCCCCTACGCGGAGAGGTATCTTGTCCATTATTGGATCAGTGTTCGACCCCTTTGGTTTCGCTGCACCATTTGTCCTTACAGCCAAGAAAATTCTACAAGACCTTTGCAAGATGAAATTGGGCTGGGATGAGGAAATACCTCCAGAGTACAATGTACGTTGGCAAAAATGGCTTATAGACCTTCCTATGCTGTCAACCGACCGTTGTTTTAAACCAGCCAACTTTGGGACCATCGCTTATAGCCAGTTGCACCATTTTTCAGACGCTTCGGAGATTGGGTTTGGTTCAGTATCTTACCTGCGCCTGGTTGATATCAACGATAGAGTCCATTGCGCCATCCTTCAAGGAAAGTCACGGCTCGCACCTTTGAAGAAATTTACTATTCCTCGATTAGAGCTTTCAGCGACAACAGTGTCGGTGCGGTCAGACAAAGCCATAAAGAGAGAGCAAGAACTCCCGCTTACCGAGCCATCAGTTTTCTGGACGGATAGTACATCAGTGTTACGTTATGTGAACAATGAAGACAAGAGATTTCACACATTTGTAGCTAACCGCATCGCAATCATTCGGGACGGATACGACCCTAACCAGTGGAGGTATGTGAGTGGAGAATCTAATCCAGGCGACGACCTCTCAAGAGGGCTATCAGCAGAGACACTGCTTGACCGCGAACGATGGATAAAGGGGCCGGAATTTCTCTGGATGCGAATGGAGGTGTGGCCTCGAAACCCCACGATGCTAGATAGCATTCTGGATACCGATCCAGAAGTGAAAGTAGAAGCCAATTCTTTTATGTCATCGGCAAAGGAGCCATTTGGTCCTTTTAGCGAAGTATTTCCAGCGTACCTCGTCCTGGTACAGGCTGAAAAAATCAGTTGCCTGGTTCTTGCGTTACCGTGAGAAGTTACGAGCCGCCAGCAAGGGTGAAAAACCAAGGAAGTCGCATACAGGGACGATCTTGTCTATCTCCGTCGAAGAAATTAGAGCAGCAGAGCTAGAAATCCTAAAGGCTATTCAGCGCCATCATTTTTCTGAAGAAATGCGCTCCCTCACAAGGTCTGGAAGTACTATAAAAAAGTCCAGTTGGTTACGAAGCTTAGATCAATACTGATTGACGGCTTACTGCGTGTCGGAGGAAGACTGACCCAGGCGTCTTTTGGCAGTAAACATCAAATCATCCTTCCAAAGAATGATCACGTGTCCAACATTTTGATAGAGCACTTTCACCTTATCTCTGGTCACTCTGGTAGAGAGTACGTTTTGAGTCTTTTGCGCGAACGATTTTGGGTAATCAAGGGAAGCTCTGCTGTGAGAAGAATCCTTTCTAAATGTGTTAGTTGCCGTCGCCGTCAGGCGCCAGTTCTCGAGCAGAAGATGGCTGACCTTCCTGAGGACCGTCTTACACCAGACCAGCCACCCTTCACAACAGTCGGCGTTGATTGCTTTGAACCCTTTCACGTTCGACGTGCTCGAAGCCTTGTCAAGCGATATGGAGTTATTTTTACATGTTTAGCTATTCGTGCAGTGCATATCGAAGTAGTTCATAGCTTGGAGACGGATTCCTTCCTACTGGCACTAAGAAGATTTATCGCGAGGAGGGGTCAAGTGAAAGAGATCCGTTCAGATAACGGTACTAATTTCACAGCCGGTGAAAGGGAGCTCCGACGATCCATACGTGTTTGGAATCAAGAAAGGATTCATGAAAGCTTGCTCCAAAAGGACATCAAATGGACCTTTAACCCACATTACGGCTCGCATCACGGTGGCGTCTGGGAGAGATGTATTCGGACCACTCATGTGTGAAGTTGAGTCGATCATTAATGGAAGGCCAATAACGAAAGTATCACCCCCAATCACTTGCTGCTTTTGAAATCTGGATCAGTTTTGCCTCCAGGGACCTTTAGAAAGGAAGACATCTTTAGCCGTAGAAGATGGCGTCAAGTTCAGTACATGGCTGACCAGTTCTTGAGGCGATGGTCTAAGGAATATCTGCCCCTCTTGCAGCAACGCCAAAAGTGGCATTATCCGCGCAGGAACGTAGCTGTCGGCGATATCGTACTGATGGAGGACGATACCTCTCCGAGGAATTGTTGGCCGATGGTTAGAGTGGTTGAAGCAGTATCAGGCAGAGATGGACGCGTTCGCCGTGTAAAGTTAAGAACAAGAACATCATTGTTGGACCGACCCATTGACAAATGCGTTCTTCTCCAAGCCGCTGAAGAGAGCTTAACTCATTAAGAACTTTAAGTTTGAACTTTAAGTCCAGCCGAGAGTTGAGACTTGCTTTTATGAGAACTTTGTATTATTGTAGTTTTCGAATTTGCTGTTTGCAAATGCTTTTCAGCGCATAGCAGTTCCTTTCGGTTCGCGCTTGTTATGTATTTTATCGTTACTTCATGGCCTAGAATCCATTAAGTTAAGCCGTTTAGATCTAATATCAGTAATGTGTTTAAGTGTTTCGCGCGCGTCAACACTTAGGAGCCGGTGTAGATCGCAACGCCTTACATTCTTTTTCGTTTGTTTATTGTTCTTGTGCAAGAGTGCTAGTTGTAGTAAAATTTTGTGTGCACTTTCTTTGTGTCAACGCGTAACGTTGCGTAACGTAGCATGTATTTAACCGTATTTTTCATCGTAGTTTGGTGCAGTTTTGCAGTGTAGTTTCGTCGAGTGTGGTTTCGTATATTCGTTCTTTTCGCTTCGTACAAACTCGGAAACTTTCGTTGCGTTTTCCTATGGACAAATACAACTCCGAAAGGCACATATCTGTGTTTTAGACTCATTTCTTCTACTGCTGTAAAATGTTAGTCTGAAGTTAAAGATGTATTAATTTAAAAATCGAGCAAGAGCTTCCCAGTTTTTGGAAACAAGAGATTATATCTAAATATTTCGCGCTAAAAATTTGAGGTCGCACACAATAGCAAGCTTTTTGTAATGTGTAGATTTACTTCATAGCTGACTTTAAGACTGAATGTTGATTAAACTGACATCTACCTTTAACACAAGCCCTCCTAATAAGCCATTTTACAGTTGTGTACTTAGTTGCCAAGCCTTTGATTTAGAGTAAAGCTGAAGGTGACCTTGTTGTGATAGAGATCAGTATCTTGTAGGCATAATTACAAAGTAATTTACATTTGAAAAGTAGCAATGCTGTAGCATAACAAGGTAACCCTTAGCCACACTCCTGTTTAAAGGCTTGGAAACCAAGCATGCAACTACAAAAATGGACTATTACATATCAATGTAATCAGAAAAACAATCTTTTTCGTTTTTTCTACATTTTTAAACCTTAACATAAAAAAAGATTGACAACAATAATAGGATTTTGTTGTCATTGAGACTTCAGTCTGTCGGAGGAGTTGGAGATAAGTCCGTGGAGGAAAAAGATCGCATTAGCTATGACCATGGTGGTCCAAGTTCAGGTGATGTCAAGAAAGTCATTGACTTCTATAATTGGGGAGCCAAGCATGGGGAGGGAAACACCCATGGCAATCTTGGCAATGCTTATTGTGGAATGAATGATTTCAAAACAGCCATAGAGTACCACAACCTAAATCTTAAAATAGCTAAAGAAGTAGGAGACAGGCATGGTGAGGGTGATGCTTGTGGCAATCTTGGCCATGCTTATTACTGTTTCAGTGATTTCAAAAAAGCTATAGAGTACCACAACCTACATCTTAAAATAGCTAAAGAAATAGGAGACAAGCGTGGGGAGGGTTATGCTTATAGCAATCTTGGCAATGCTAATTGGAGACTGGGTGATTTCAAAAAAGCAATAGAATTCTACAACCTAAGTCTTGAAATACTTAAAGAAGTAGGAGACAAGCGTGGGGAGGGTGGCACTTATAACAATCTTGGCAGCGCTTATAAAAGACTGGGTGATTTCAAAAAAGCCATAGAGTACTTCAACCTACATCTTAAAATAGCTAAAGAAGTAGGAGACAAGCAAGGGGAGGGTAACGTTTACGGCGATCTTGGCGATGCTCATCACAGTTTAGGTGATTTCAAAAAAGCCATAGAGTACAACAACCTAAGTCTTAAAATGGCTAAAGAAGTAAGAGACAAGCATGGGGAAGGTGTTGCTTATAGCGGTCTTGGCAATGCCCATTGCAGACTGGGTGATTTCAAAAAAGCCATAAAGTTCCTCATCCTAAGTCATAAAATACATAAAGAAGTAGGAGACAAGCATGGGGAGGGTATCGCTTATGGCAGTCTTGGCGCTGCTCATAACGGACTGGGTGATTTCAAAAAAGCCATAGAGTACCACTACTTAGATCTAGAAATAGCTAAAGAAGTAAGAAACAAGTATGGGGAGGGTAGAGCTTATGGCAATCTTGGCATTGCTTATAAAAAACTGGGTGATTTCAAAAAAGCCATAGAGTACCAGAACCTAAATCTTAAAATAGCTAAAGAAGTAGGATACAAGCATAGGGAGGGTTGTGCTTATGGTAATCTTGGCAATGTGTATCGAACTCTGGGAAATTTGAAAAAGGCCACTGAGTCATACAAGCTCATGCTCGAAATTGCCAAAGAGGTCGAAGACAAATCCATGGAGGCAAGTGCCTACTTTTCATTAGGATGCGTTTTTGAGTCGCTGGGTCGACTGCCAAAAGCCGTAGAACATTACCAAGCCAGCATAACCTTATTTAATTCTTTGAGAGTACTTCTAAAATCTAAAGATGAATGGAAAGTTAATTTTCGAAATCAGTATCAAATGGCGTATACGGGTTTGTGTAGAGTTCTTGTAAAACAAGGTGATATAGAAGAAGCCTTACTTGCTGCTGAGAAAGGACGAGCTGAAGCTCTGAAAAACCTCATGGAATCCAGTTTTTGTAGTGGAACAAGTCAGCACAAGATAGGCGAGGAAGATTTAGCGGTTTTAAAAAACGTTCCATCAAACACTGTCTTTCAGGCAGTGGACAGAGCTAACGTCAATCTTTGGGTTGTGTCCGAAGGGAAACAAGTTCAGTTAAAACAAAGTAAACTCAAAGGCTTTGTTTCAGAGAATAGTGGAGCTAGCCAATCCTTTCAGTCGTTCATGCTCGATGTCTATACACAACTTGGTGTTCGTTCTAATGTGAGATGCGAGAATCGATCTTTGGATGCTTTGAGGGCGAGCTGTTCAAACGTGGATGAGAAAACTGAAGAACAAAACCCTCAAGCTCCCATCGAACAAAACGAATGCTTGAGCAATTTGTACGATACAGTTATGAAGCCAGTGGCTGATCTGATACAAGGGGATGAGCTACTCATTATTCCCGATGGACCCCTGTGGCTCGTTCCTTACGCTGCACTCATGGATGGTAATTCTAAATACCTGTGTGAATCGTTCAGAATCCGACTCGCTCCTTCGTTAACAAGTCTTAGACTCATTGCCGATTGCCCAGATGATTATCACAAAAGAAGTGGTGCGTTACTTGTAGGAGATCCGTGGGTAGCCGAGGTTATTAATAGCAAGGAAGAGAAAGTCTTCGAGCCGCTTCCGTATGCTAAAGAAGAAGTAGAAATGATCGGAAAAATTCTGAATACCACGCCAATCACTGGCAGACAGGCCACGAAACGTGAGGTGTTGAAAAGACTCAGTTCCGTTTCCTTAGTTCACTTTGCGGCACACGGATGTATGGAAACAGGCGAAATTGCTCTTACACCTGACCCAGAACGAAGATCTAATGTGCCAACGGAGGAGGATTACATTTTAACAATTGAAGATGTGTTGAATGTTCAACTTCGCGCCAAACTTGTTGTACTCAGTTGCTGCCACAGTGGTCGGGGCGAGATCAAGGCTGAAGGTGTGGTTGGCATTGCGCGCGCTTTTATGGGGGCTGGTGCCCGGTCTATTGTGGTGTCCCTGTGGGCGATTGATGACGAGGCTACTCTCGAGTTCATGAAATGCTTTTATCAACACCTTGCTGAAGGAAAATCTGCAAGCGGGTCACTGAACCTGGCTATGAGAAGCCTCAGAGAATCAGCCAAGTTCCGCGACATCAAATACTGGGCGCCCTTTTTACTGATTGGAGATGACGTCAGTCTTGACTTCATGGCAAAAGAAAGATAGAATTTGAATATAAAATCACATAAATTAATTTTTTTTTTTCATCTCAAAAAGAATGACGCAGGAACTTGGAAGTTTTAAATGTTTCTCTATTTTGACAATTTTTGGCTATTTTTCATAACTTTTTACTTTTTCTTTAACTGGAACTTGAGATGTGTAACTTTACTTTTGTGAGGAAATAAAAACAGATTGTTTCATAACAGTTTGATCAATGGAATTGTTTGTTTTCTTACTTTAACAAATTTAATGCTTGTGAATACAATTGTGCATACAATTGTGAATACAATTGTGAATACAATTTTTAAATTGTTTTCCATACAAAAACAAAGAAACCTTTGAAAACCATATAAAAGCCTCTAAAAAGGTTTTTAATTTTACATAACCAGGAGCTAGTCCATCAGGTTTTAATTACGTCTATACTTTAAGCTTTTGATAAGCAAAGAAACAGCTCGTCATTTGCAAAAGTTGGCACATTTTATTTCAAAATTTTGATCTGCAAAATTCGCAGCCGTACGTTGATTAAACTGGGATGGTTTTTCTACACCAAAAATTTCTTTGTCACGAATTGCGATTAACTTTACAAGAAAAAAATTATTACTTTTTTCGATCCATTTTAATGCAATCTAATTCTATCACTGCCAAGATTGCCATTCTAAGCTTGATTTATAGAAGTAAACATCTGTGATAATGTTATTGAATTTGCCGACCATATTTTAGAGACATAAGATCTACTTTTAGGGGTGTAGCCAGCCTCTATTCCTGAAGGCCCGGGCTACAATTGTTTTCTGCCCGCTTGACTTTGACAATCTGACTCTTACTAATGTTGAAACAAAAATTGAAATTTCGAAGGGAACAGGCCTTCAATAAGTCTAAAAGCTGGCTATAACCCTGATTTTAATCAAACGAGTTTGGTCAATTTTAGTCCATTTTATGAAACACTTATCGGTTGGTTTTAAAGAATCACGACAGGGAGGTAAAAAATTGTCCATGTAATCTAAACAAGGAAAGAGCGAAGGAGAGTTAACTGTAAGTAATGTTTCCATAGCTTTAACTTTTAATGTATGTGACATGGAATTTGTTGTTTTTAGTAGGAAAATATTTACTTCCATAAATCAGAGAAGCAATTGAAAAAAGCCATGTAGTCCTCAAAAGTAATTAATTTGGTGAAATAGTTCATAAATAAATGCAAACTAGTCCGTAGTTGAAAAGTTTCTGAGCTTAAGGGGAAAACTTTCAATTTTTGAAAATTCCCTGTTGAAAATTTTTTCCATTGCTTTAAATTTACCTTAGTATAATTTGAAGATGTCTGATAATATCTTTCTTAGATTTAAGAATTTATACTTAGGTATTCAGAGCACTTTTTGTAATTAGAATCCGTTATGTGGTCAAAAGTTTAAGATATACTGTATCACAGCTGTGTTAGAAGAAATTTTTGTAAAATCAATCTTAATTTTGCAGATTTTCGTAACTACCATTGGTATATGCCGGTAGAAAATGCAATAGTTAACCTTGCACATGGTTGAATATGATGTAACGTAGGATTTTAAAAACAAGACAAGGTGGAACCCTTTTAACCAATGTATAATGTCGGTGAATTTCATGTGAAGTATTTTGATGCTATCTTTATTTACAGTTGAAGATAATTGTTCATTTACCTTAGTTTAATTAACTCATGAACTCCCAAGTTCTGAAGACAAATTCTCCCAGAAGACAAATTCTTTCAGATGATAAAAATGTGTTTCTTTGTTACTTCTTTCTTAGAGTTCGATGTAGCATCACGTTTGTAGCATAAAATTTTCCTCCAGTTTTGATTTTCTTTAATTCTTGACACCATTTTTGTGGGTGTATTAATTTTTTGAGGAGAATTTAAACTATAATCAGTCTTGGAAGTAAATGGGTCCATTTTAGTGTCTCTGTTTAGCGCATATTTTACTTAAAGCCTTGAACAATTTAGTGCAGTTTCTATCGTACTTATTTGTTTCACTTCTTTGTGCAAGAGAAATAAACAGTGTATAAAATAAAAAAAACTACGTCGATTTTTAATGTCTGTCTCCATATTCTAAGGATTCACGTAATAAGCAGAGAGAACAGATCCTATGGGGACTTCAATACTTGTTTTGACCCGCGCGCGCTAGATTGCTAATCTGTGCAGCTGACAGTGAAGTAACATTCCATGTTTCAAGTCCCCACCCACTTAACAGAAGCGCTTCGTTTCTTAGATTGCGTATCTTCCACTGTCCATCGTTCTCCATATTGTCAAACGGTTTTGAACGCCGACGGACGTGTTTATACTGTTACATGTGTGCGCCTTTTTTTACCTTTTTTCTAACACAAGTTTTTACAACTTTTCACATTTGCGCATCGTTTTTCTCCTTCTTTTCCTTTTTTTTTAATCGTTCTTTTCCTTTATCTCATCCTTTACACTTACTTCTTTCATCGTCCTCAACTTTATTCTTCTTCGCGCTTCATTAGACGCAACTATCCCCTTGTCTGTTTTAATTTTCATTCGTCTCAATCCTCGCGCAACGTCAGGCTTCTTTCACCTCATGTACCTCCTTACCCCTCTCTCCCCCTTAGTAGTTGCTATCATGTCTATTTTGTCCATGTTGGAATTGTGTCCTCCTAACGTCATCTCTAGTAAAATCTCAGTTTTTCTTTCGATTGATGTCCAGTCCACAATGGCAGGTGCCAATGTTTGCTCTCCTCAGTCCTCTCATTACAGTTGCAGTTGTCAATTGGAAGAGCTCCCTCCAAGTCTCGCCGACATAATCACTGCATTTTGTAGAAAACCTTCAATGTTCGAATCAAGGCTTCTTCCATCAACTGTTTGGGAATGGATCAAACTCTCGCCCAGAGTCCACCTACGTCGTGAATCCAAGATGGCAGCAGGCCAATCCACAGACTCTACAGAGTTGGTACCCGCCATCTTGGATGAAGATGACGAGAAGACCTTGGTAAAGAGTTTTGACGAAACAATAATTAAGAAAGGATAAGTTACTATAATACTTCCTAAGAGGCAGTCGATGACAACTAGAGAGATTTATTATGAGCAAACACGTTCCGTCGCTTGTTGGACTTCATGTCTCCTTATATCGTAGATTAAACTCGTCGAATACGCACGCCAATACACCCCTCTCTTTCCTCTCCCTTCAATAGCATTATACATCCTTCTACTGCAAGTTTTATATCTAATCTCTCCCCGCCCTGCTTACACCCTCGTGTGTTCCAGCGATTTTTGCAGTTTTCTTGTTCTTACTTTGAATTCGTATCGGTTCTTTGAGATAATTTCCTCCCCTCTGATTGGCCGATGTAATAACGTTGCACATGGCATGATATTCGTGTCTCAAGCGAAGTTGTTAATTAATTCTTGTATGTTTCCCTTAAACATACAAACGGGTTTAAGTCCTGAAAATGCAATTACATTCCATTTTTATTACTGGGACTCATTGTATTTTTATTTGCTTGGTTTTTTTGGTCACGTGAATGTTCAAACGCTAATAATTTAGTGTTTAAACCAATAAAAAGTGAGGTTGATTCAAAGGTTTTGTGCATCCTCAATGCACATATTTGTTGTGCACAATCAACTTAAAGAGCGCTTAACTCCAGGAGGCGCCATGAATATTCGTGTCAGTCATGAGACTCTCAGGCGTGATTCTTCGTTTATTACTCTTAAGGTTGCCAGATGAATGTGGTCAATATTTGCAGGAGCGAATAAGAGCTCTAACGATGAAACAATGAATTGCTCTTAACCTAACCTGAACTGATTAACAACGATCTTTACATTCAATATTTCACTAACTTATATCATAAAGCAATGGAAAATATGTATATTTTTGCCGTATTTAAAAATGAAAAGAAGTATGAATATGAATATTTGGGTTTCATTACAAATGGTAGATCTAGAAATTGTCGCCGCAAACAGGAAAGTTTACGAGTTAAGGTGAGTTAAGCCCAAAGTAAAAACGCCGTCATCTTGAGGTACGAGGTTCGCCTGTCGAAGTACAGAAGCCACCACATACTCGATGTTAAATATATAATTTTTTTTGGTTTATTTCTCGATCGTCGATGATATACACATAACAGTAATTTATTTTCCTTAAATTCCTTATTTTTCATTCAATTCGATACTACTCGAAGACAATATACAGTACACAAGCCCTTGCAGTTTTATCGAAACCGTTTGGACTTTCCGATGAACCTGCGTAACACTGAAGCAGTGAAATCAACCAATAGTACCACGCTTATCTACAAAAAAGGAAACGCCGATGACGAGTTAAATGACATCACACCATGCCAGGTTTGGCATACATGGGCAAGTGATTGGAGTTGTAGCTGAGGAATCCAAGCAATCTTTGCTCGATTGCCTTTCTAGCAGATGAAGCCATGTACGAGTCTGAGAGAACGCGGCGCTGATCCTTGGTCAACTGAAAATAAAAATTGAAAAGGGTGCGCCGTTTATAATGCTGTTAAACTGCAAGTTTCACAATAATTCTTTGAGATGATACGGCTTATTACAATAAACAAGGTGCCTCCAATGTTTTGAGGATTTAAAACGCCTAGTGTGTGAGCAATCGTGTGTAAGAAAGCTGCTAAGCCCCAACTTCATGTTATTTTCTTGTCCGAGGTGGTTCTCACTTAAAAAATTGTACCTAGGCCCTCATTATTAACACTTCGGCACGAGTCTTTCTTCGCCCACGGGAATATATGGGACGTGAAGCAACGCAATTAACACTCGAACCCCAACAAACCTCTCCTTGACTCGTCTGAAATTTTCGTGCGAGCGGAAAAACGTACGTTCTGCAGCGCTAATAAGAATAAAGGACTGCCCGCAGGCTATAGAGTGAGTAACAATTCATATTAAATCTAACGAGCAGTACATGAGGTACTGTTCATCATGCCGTTGAGGGTGGTCTTACTCAAAACGCTCTAAACCAGAATCCTTGAGCTTGACCATTCAAGTGCCAGTCGTGGGGTACAAGTTTAATAGGACGTTTTTCAGTTTCAATTCATAAATGAAAACCTCTTTTGTAGCCATCTATATCAAAGCTATCGCAAACCAATTTTGTCGACTTGTGTATGAACCAAAACACTAAGCAAAGAGCTTGGACGTCAGAGTAACTCACCACTAAGTCTTCGTCTATCATCTTCCGTACTTTCTCCTCCAATGACGGTACATCGGCGGACTGAGAGGGGAGGGTTAAGTTAGTTTGCTTGTACAGTTCTTCGGGTTAGTTTATACCATAAGCTTGTTTTTCTTCGACTTACGCATACAACATGTGCGTGAAATTCTGGTAACACAGCTTTAAGCGTTAGGTCAAGATCGCAACGAAATACTTTTACACAGGTTTACATAGGTTTACACATGTTACTGCGCCTGTCAGTATCAAGCGAATTATGGCAAATGTAACAACACTATTTTAGCTTGATACATACACCATTTAAAGTCATAACATAATCGTCGTAGTGAGCACTTAATAAATTCAAAACCAAAGTTATAATGTTCTGGGATTTATAAGGGGAAAGAAGGGAAAAAAAGGATTGATGGAAAGTGCATAAAATATTGACGGTAGTGTTTCATGAATTTTCAATGATGCCTTTAAAAACTCCATAGCTGGCACATACTTGGCATCGAGATCCATAACAGAGAAGTTTTCAATTAAGTATCGAAAGTGATCTTGAATTGCTTTAGTTTTGCTTTACTTCACTCAGTGATTGGTCCAGAAATCTCGCGCCGCCATCTTAACCAAACAAATGTAAAACTAAAACCAATCTCAACTTGGTCACTCGCGTTTTCCCGCGCTTCAAGTAGTTTTTTACTTTGAGTTCTCATTAGTTAATGACGATGTAAATCATTGTTCTGATTGGTTAATGATAATGTAAACCGATGTTCTGATTGGTGGTTGTGACCACTCTGGTTTTGGCTCTATAGATTATGGCTCAAAATAATTTCCAACATTTTACTTACAGGTTTTGCTACAAGAAGTTCTCTTATCTCATCCCTGAAATCTTTGAATCTATCGTGGAAAACGGCAAGGCACCAGGACTCTCGGAAAAAGCTAAAATGTGCACAAAGAAACGTTTAAGGACTTGAAAGCGATGATAAGTTATAATTTGGATATACCAATGTCAGTAGTGTTTTCCAAACTAATTGTACATTAACAACATTCCTGAATGTCCTTCCGGTTTTTAATCAAGCCTAGCTGAAGCCTGCCAGCTGATGTGTCTTTCTGTCTGTTGGTCTGTCTGTTGGTCTGTCTGTCCGTCTGTCTGTCCGTCTGTCTATCGGTCAGTCTGTCACTCTGTCTGTCAATCTGTCTGTCTTTCTGTCTATCTGTCTGTCTGTATATCTGCTCACCTATCTGTCTGAATGTCTTCTATTTGTTTGGAGATCTGTCTCTCTCTGTCTGGCTAACAGTCCGTCTGTCAGTCTGTCAGTCAGTCTGTCTGCGTCTGTTTGTCTGTCTGTCTCTCTGTATGTCTGCATGTCTATCTATCTGACTGTCTTTCACTCTGAAGAAGGGCTAACGCTCGACACCAGCTTTATAAACTTTGTACGGTGGCCAACTTACAATATCGACTCAATTGATGAAACCAACTTATCTGTGATACCACAGTATCTTTAAAAACCAACCCTCTATAATCATGTGTTTTTTCCTTTTAAGTCTGTCTGTCAATCTGTCGTCTATCTATCTGTCTATTCGTCTGCTCGTCTGTCCGACCGTCTGCCTGTCTGTTTATGTCTACTTATACCCGCCTGCCTACTTAACTTTATGTCCGTCCATTCATTGGTCTATATGTCACAACAATACAAACCCCAAAGTAAGAAAACGAAAACTCTTCGTTTTTGTACCTGTAGAAATCATCTATGAGCCCTTCGTCGAATCTTTGCAACAAATTGTTCAGGTATCGCTCATGCAGGGCATACAAACACACAAGGTTACTTGTATCAAGCCCCTGTAAAACAAGAAAAAAGGTACAGAATGAGACAAGATGGCAGGATGGCGTCTTCACTTTAAACAAGGCCACCTTAAAAGTTCTAAAACGAAAAATTTAAAAGTGTAAAGTTAGAATAGAGGAGTAATTAGAGAGATTCCGAGTGTTTGAAGTTAAGATGCTCACATTTTGGTTTCATGAGAAGAACTGTAAACCACCAATTTCTCACCGCCTTGGAAGAAACACGCGCACTTCACAACTAAATACGTGATGGTCTCACTAACCTGTCGAGTGCAGCACGTAATTGTCTCTATGAAGCGGTGCTGATTCACGTGCAAGCGGAAGTAGCCTTGCTCATGGTCCTTACCGGTGATAAGTTCCCTGCCCTGTAAGAAAGGAAAATGAACTTTTTTTCGAATCAAGAATTCATATGCCATGCAGCGGCCGGGTTGCTCAGCAAGATTCAAAATGGCCGCATCCAAACCCGCTTGGTATTACAACCTCCCACACATTCTTTGATGGCGGAGATGAAAATGATATATTTTCATGTGTATGCTATATACCTTTTAAAATAAACTTTCCATCTCACCTTTCTAACAAGGGGCAGTAATAATAATGAGGATCGAAATACACCAATGACAGCGCGCAAAAACACATTATAAACAGCAAACAAAGGTACTATAAATAGCGACACGTGAACTTTCGACCTCGTTGCCTGACGAAAGCTAGCAGTATAGCAGTCGAAATGTCATGATCAATACGATCCGGATAGCCTGACCATCAAACGTTCCTTAAGCTACAGAACTACAATGAAAATCAATATTTTCTATGACAAATCCTCCCTACTTACATATTCAGGCTGTACCATATGAGCGTCTAATGGAATATTCAAGCTTGGTTTACCGACTTGCAAGTAATTATATCCCCCTGCAATACATGAATTGTTAAGTTCATTATTTGAAAGCCTCTTCTTTTGAAGGCGCTCGTACTCTTTCATGAGCCAATTTATGATCAGATTCTATAGTGCTAAATGGTTTAACTGTACTTTACTTGAAGATTTCCCCTCAAGCACCAAATGCTATACGCGTCCTAAATTTTGGTTGTTCAAATAAACGTCCGAAATACCCCAAATTAAAGGACATTCTCGAAAGAGAAAGGAGGTAAATTTCTAAAGAAAATGTGGTGCTACGTCGGTTTGGGGTATTACGAGATAATTTGGTTTCATCATCTGAGTCAATAATGTAAATTTACCACCGCAAAGAGTTTCTAAAGCTGACGTTACGAGCGTTAGTCCTTCGTCAGTTAATAAAATCAAATTAATTGTCTTGAAGGGTAGTTTAAAGCGAAAAAAAAACTTTCTCGGCTCTAAAGTCGAAGATTTTCCCACTTACGCTTAAGGAGCTTGTTGGGAATCACGAGAAAACTCTACATCAAAGAGATAACACGCAGGAAAATGAGAGTGACAGAGTGGTTGGGAGCCTGCGCTAGCTTCACAGAACGACGTAAAGTAGAGTCAAAGCAATCTCAAATTACAACATTAAACTAGTCTAGTCTAAACTAGTCTAAACTAGTCTAAACTAGTGCTGGTCTATAATGCTCGTCACTCATTTGTTAACTGTTATTTTTATTCTCTTCTTATTTCTTAAGAGTTTCGCGCGAGAATCAAAGAGTGCAGTGATGCAAATTAACCCAATTGTGCGCTGAATTTTCTCTAGCATGGAAGTCGTCTCACCTGGTAACATAGCAGAGACTGTCTTCGGTTTGGTGTATATTGGTATCAGTAAATGCTGCTCTCGTGGGGTCTCCGTGTCGAGAAGCATGGCGTCAAGGGTGGGATCAAACAATGTTAACAAAGACTGCGCCAGTTCTTCACCTACCTCCTTGGAGTTGAAGTTTCCATGAGTCCTAAAAATGAAAAGAGAACGAGAAAAATGTTGAAGAATGCATGTAGAAAAACATGTATACTGATTGGAAATCAAAAGGTGTTTACACAGCATACACTGCTTCACTTTCATTTACCAGCTTCCAAAGCGAGTTACCTAAGACTTAATGACCAAGCACTTTGATCCCTGAGGGTGACGAACATCTGATTTCTTTTTCCAACATCACACCTGAATCACACATCCAGGTTACAAAAATAAAAGGTGATCGCCAACTCAAGACGCTCTTGATTGCTAAACAAATTCTTCTTGTCAACACCTTACGAAATGTATGGACAACAATATGGAGAATATGGAAGCTGATATACGGGTCTTTAAATGTTAAACTTCCGTAATCTCCCGTTGACGTACATCTGACTGCAGTATAATCCGTCATTCTAGGCGGGCCACCACAACGACCGATAATTATGACAACCATAGACAACTTATTATGATAAGTATGATACATTACCAAGATTCTGCATGGTATCTCCGCTGGAATTTCGTTAGTGGTCCTGCAGCTCTAATGCATGGGTCATTTGTGTGGAAATCTGCGTCGATGACTAATCTTCCGTCAAACACAAGACAGCTGTCATTAATGGCTGAAATGAATGGACAAATGAATCCATGAAAAAACTACTTGATCACTAAACAGAAAATAGCAACGACAAAAAAAATTACCTTTAAAAGCGTCGTGGTCAACCTTCTTGGATTGGAAGCAAAAGAACGCCTGGAAAATTGAAGTAAATATATTGGAAGGTCGCGAAATTTTTTTAGTTGACCTGCTAAATTACATTTAGCTTAACAGCACAAATCGTAGGATAAGAGAAAAACACTAAATGGGAAGAATACACTAAGAAGGAACGAGAATGCATAGGATAAGAATGACAGGTTTTGCTTTAGACCATCTTGTCGTAGTTACCCAGGCCCGCTCGAAATCTGTGAGACAGGACGATACACTGTGATAAACAACCACTCAATATACATCGCGCATGCACTGAAGACGACACAAAGAAGTCAGCCACGTATTTATCACGCGAAAAGTGTTCTGTATATCATCTGCCAAGCGCAACCTTTTCATGTAGGTAAAGTGCATTATTTGTTTTTCGTACGTTCATAACTAAGGAACGGTGGCCAATTAATTGATTAAAGAAACTTGAAAATTTGTGCAAAGATTCTTCTCTTTATCATCGTGTCAAGTAAGCTCACCTCACAGTCAACACTGAGTGGTTTGTTTTCTGACGTAAACGTAGCACGTGACAGAGGCTGGTCGACCTCCCCGTCATTCCACTGGGCGAGTGTGTAGCCGACATGACACGCCACTCCTTTAGGGACAATAATGAAAAAATAAAACTGGTTCCCATAGAGTTTATAATGATCTTTACCCAAGCAAGGGATCATGCGGTGCCTATGCGAATACATTTAAAATTATGATAAGTAAACAAACATAAAAATCAATTTGAATTTAGCAATGGGGTAGCTAAACTCTACTGTTTTTCAGGGCAAAATGTTACGATTATGGAATAAAAACGTTCTTAAACGGAAAACGAGTCTAAAAGAATAATATGTAAGGGAGAAAAGAGTAGAGAAATAACGTCAACGAAAGTTGCAGATTCACAGAATTTTTTGAAAATTTTTGTTGGTGTACTAAACTATTCCAGGTTGCAATATTTTGTACAATCCATAAGCGGACTCAAATGGAAGGTCCTGATGAAATTTAACTAAACTATAAGAGTTTCCTTCCTTTTCTACGAAAAAATAAAATGAATATTGAATTCTCGAACCCTTCCACTCCCAAGATCTATTTAGAAATTCTCCTCACTGTCTTCTTTACGTTGCCTATAATTTTGAAACTTAAGTATTAAAGATTAAATGATAATCCTCTGATATTTCTCTCTATTTTCATCACTAGTCTGCTTATTATGATATTGTAAGGAGAAAGTATGTCTCAGTCACTGCTGGGAGTTGAAGGGTTAAGCTTTCATTGTACCAAAAATGTTAGAGTTAAATCGTGTACGTTAACAAAAACCATTAGAAACAAACGAACAAAACAAAATAAAAAACTGAAAAGATTGGACAAAACTGTCACTATTACCATGCACATTAATGTGTGTTAACTTAGGGAATCTTACCACATTCATGCAGTGCTGCAGAAACCGCATCCTCGATAAACGGGTTATTAAAACAGGTTGGTAACGAGACTGGAGGCTGAACAAGCACAACACGTGATCCAGGGAGTCCAGCCGCTAGAAGGGTTTGCACCATGACGAAAGCATCCAGTGTGTTTCCGTACACAAGGGCTTTTCCTTAAAAACACATAACAAAACAAAACTGCTAAATTACAAATAAGTGAAAAAGAGCGCTTTTTGATCGGGTGTCGCAAAACCAAAACCAACGTAATCACAACAGCCAATCAGATCAAAGAAAAAATATCACAAGGAGCCTTAAGGCGGGAAAACGCGTGATCAAGACGTGATTGGTTTTAGTTTCGAAACTGATTTGTTGAGAAAGTGGCGCGAGATTTTTTGAACCAATCACAGTGCGAGGTAAAGAAAAAACCATAGCAAGCCCTACTTGCTTTCGGCATTCAAATGAAAATTGCTTCAAACATATTTGGACCTGTGGATGATAACGAATGGCGAATTATTCCCAGGTTGACCGCAATTGTAAAAATTGCAACAAAGGAGGCCTAAACAGATAAGGCTCCGTCATGTTCGAAACCAGGCTTCCCAAATACTTATTGGGTGCTCCGACCAACGGACATGACTTATTGGAATTGTTAGGAGAGAGGTGTGTCAAACAAATTTCCACATTTCTTAAATATGATTCAAATAACACACGCATACATTGGTGACCAAAGTTGCATATGATCAAATTGAGGTCTAAAATATGGTTTTGTAAATGTTCCATGGAGAGATGCCTCTTTCGCCACCACTGAGATCGTTTAACATATTGTATTTACCACTGGCTCTGTCATAAAAGGCATCCCCTCGAAAAAAAGTTATCCTTTTCTCCTAAATAAACCACCTGACCTCATCTCTTACCAGTAACTAAACAGTAACCATTTTAACTTTATCACGTACGGCTTACCTTCACCTGTAAGAAACTCCCCCCGGATAAAGCTTAACACGTTCTCACAGTCTTTTTCTGTATTAACAGTGAACACTGACGATGGCAGGGGGCCCGTGTATCGTGATACTTGATGTATTGTCACCTCACTGGTAGTGACTAAAGTGGAGATATCAGCGCCAGTAGGTACAGGGATTTGAAACTGCTGACCAGTGCACAGAGTAAGGTAATCATAAGGAATGAATGCTCCTTCGCTCACTTTGACGACCTTGTTCGTTCTGTAGATAACAATAAAACAGACCCAAAACAAAAAAAAAAGAAAAACAATTTGTGAGGATTCTAGCACAGAGAGTTGCGATTTCGCGCTGGGATGCTTTAGAAAGCATAGCGCGTCAAGTCCCGTCGGGAATTTATTGAAGTTGTAAATTTATCGCAGGGAGATTTCTAACCACATCGTTGTTTTGATGAAATGCCCGTTGGCATTCAGGGCAAAAGATAAATTGCCTCAGCCGAAACGAAACGGCGACGTCAGTCTAACTGCAAACTAATCTATCCTGTTTACTTGCAATTGTGTTTTATAATTCTGTTAACGTAACTAGGTATCAAACGAGGTTATAATGAATGGCTTTCCAGTGTACCGAAGGAAGGACCTTAAAATACATCTTCTTGAGATGCAAGGACCTTCCTCACCAAGTGAGTTTAAATGAGTGACCAAGACAGAATTTCTCCTCACAATATCAATACAATATCAAGCAGACAAGAGATAAGAATAAAGAAAAATATCAACAAGGAGATTATCAGCTGATCCAGTACCAAATTCTCTGAACTAACATCATATATATCGTATGGCAGATAGTAAGGAGAATTACCTGTCAAGTGCCATGACTTTGCCCTCAACAACCTTGATCCAGGTTTCCAATGCCATGTGAGTGAAATCGTCTTGAGTATAACAAAGACTAAGGAAGGCAAAAGTAAGCAAACTCATAATAACAAACTGTGTTCCGATCAAGGAAATCTGAAAGTCTAGGGTCGAGTTTCTTAGTCACCTCTGCTCAAGACTGATCTCCGCGGATCTAAACCTAGGCGAAATTTATGGACAATAATAATAACAGTTCCAAAAACATGATTGTTCTGGCTTGAAATATAACTCAGACCTTTAGATGAAACAATGCGTTAGACACCAGGCTATCGTGAAGCGCTCGCTGTAACGGGTTTAATTTAAAAGAGAAGTGGAAAGGAATTTTCACATAAGAAGCCACTTGCAGATACCAGGGAAGAAAAGAAAAACACACTGCACAGATGAGTTCAATACCTGGAAGGAAGGCACTTTGAACGCAGTTCGTCTGGAGGAAGCTGGCCTGGCAAACCATGTGTGGATACTAGCGTTAAATTGTTGAAACGAAGATGCGGGCTAAAACAGAAAAGAGAAGTATATAGTTACCATCCAGGGCCCATTTGTATAAAGGTCGAATAACGCTATCCAACGGATAAATCACTATCAGGCTGGGGCCTGAGTTACACGGTAACCTGTTACTAAATATTTTAATCCGTGTCTCACTTTCCATGTGAGGAAACTAGCCTGATTAGAATCAAGCCGCTCGCTGAATTCTCTAATGTATGTAGGTCAAACTTCGATCACTTTTCAACATTGTCGAAATTAGTGCGCGATCGGTTTGGTTTGCTCTCCTTCGCTTTGGTATAAAAAATTCATGCCGCCCTTGACGTCGATCATTCATTTTACTACGAATTTTTGTGAAAAACTACAGAAAGGCAAACTCACCAAAACAAGAGGGTTTCAAGGAAAGATATCCCCACATCTGATGCTCCAACCACAACAATCCGAGCATTAATGGTAACCTGTTAAATAATTAAATCGAAAAGAAATTGTCATGGTAAGTTACAAATGGCACATGTATACGTAAACAAGACGACTGGAGGTGTTAACGTGGGATACGTTGGTCGTCATCTACAGTTACTCTGGTTTTACGTGGAAAATAACAAAGTTAATGCTGATTCTTCAACGTGCAGGAATGAAATCGAAAAACGAAGACAAGAAAAGACAAGTCAACAACCCGGGATATTACGTGCGGTCACCCATCCAGATAGCAACCTCAGCTTAACATCAGCGAGAAGCACAAGCACGTGGCTAATGTCCACATCTTGCAACGACACTCAAGCGAATATTAACGCGGTCTGCCACAGGCATAACCAACGAGGTGTAAAGATCACTGAAAAGAGACAAACAAACCTTTGGTTCTAAAGTTAATTTTCTGTTCAAATGAGTCAAAGCAAAGGGTTCCTGAAAAAAAAAATTAAAAATTAAAAAAATGAAAATAAGTTGCCAGGGATCCACATCTTCCACTGCTCCAAAAGAAAAGGGGAAAATAGAAAAATAAGAAGTAATGAGTTTCTGTTTCTAAATCCTAATGGTTGTAATGACCACAAGTAGCGCATGACACAACTAAATCCTAGTCAATTACTCGATTTATGTAACAACGAAATAAAGGCCTGAAAGACGACTCCATGAATTGATTTTAGTTTGCATCACAACCCATTGAGATTGTTTGAAATAGCTAGCGCTGCCTCCTAAATCAGTGGGCTACAAGAACAAAGCTAACTGCGATTTCTTTCGCGCGCAACATGACCCATGTTAGGCGTGAAATTAATCACGGGGTGATGTATTCACGGTCTGTGATTAGTTGAAATAACGAGGACTAACCAATCAACTGTAGAAATAAAACCAACCGGCATTTGGTCACACGCGTTTTCCCGCGCTTAATGTCAGTAATGTGCGTTTGCCCTTGTTTCTTATTGGTTCATTCTGCATATTGGGCTCTAAGCCATTCACGATACAACTACCTTCATCAAAAAGAAATTAAGTTACCTTATTTGCTAAGATTCTTTCTGAGGGAGCATTTCCGCCCAGTTTATCCAATGGGTATATAATTTGACGACGAGCTCTGTAGCAAAACATTTTTAACATCATTAGCAGGAACATGGAGGAATAATTACGCCTGAACATTTGATACAGTCAAACTTCCGCTAGAAGCAGTTTTCGTAGCGTTTTTCAATGTTATGAGGACGTTCCGTTACACACCTGATTGGTACCAAGTCATTAAGCGCCGTCACAGTCGTATGAGGTTTGGAGCCCTGAAAACAAACATAAACAGCCTGAATTTGGTTGAAGATCTGGAATAAAAACTGTAAGGAAATATTATGTTTACGAATACATACGTTTTCCTTTGACGCGAAAACATGCCGAGCTATTTTTCCGCGGACGTTATGTGCTCTGAGAAGTGAACAGTTTTCCCAGAAAAGAAGGTAGAGGAAAACTGTAAGCTTCGTGGAATTTAGAGGCCAGTAAAGACTACGGCGGTAATTATCCTTCTAAGATTTTTTTAAGCGCGCGGGAAGAAATTTTGCAAAAGAGCTCGACGTCAAATACATTTACTGCGTGGAAGCTGACTTGTCAGATTTTTCACTTATGACTTTGTAAACGATAGATTTGACCGAAAAACACTTCTCCATCTTAAATTGAACTGAAAACGAGACTTTTCGTGAATGCCTTTGAAATTGATGAAAATCATTTGAAGAATATTACCAGATATTTCCCAGTTTTAGCGAGAGTTTATTTTAAGCCACGTGTAACGTTGATATTAATCGTGCGCGCGCAAAACTATTTGACATAAATAGTGTTTGTACTACAAATCTGAGATTGATGCTAACTTACTGGTTGTGTTTCTGTGTATCTTGGGCAGACTGGGTAATACAGGCAAGATTTGTGGGCCAGTCTTAGCACTTCCTACAAGGAGAGAAACATGTAATGGTCAAACGTGATTGTCAGAAGACACACCAGCATCACCAGTAACGAGCTGTTGAAGCTTTAACTTTCAGTGTACAACCTACCTTTAGAAAGTGTTTGGAATATTGCTGAAATACAGGATTGAGAGCAAAATGGAACAGACGGCCATGTTCATCTCTTTTATGATGATTGAAGTAAATAAAATCTTCAATGTTGAAATGAGAGCGGATATATTCTATATCCTACAAAGGAGCAGAAAGAAGACGAATGTGAAGGTTTAAACAATACATGGCAAAGAACGGCTAAATAACGGAAATGGTCAAAATTGCAGAACCGAAGCTCTTTACTTCACATAAAACTCAACAGAAGAAAAGAACAAAAAAAAAAAAGGATACCTCTTCTCGTCTAAGGAGGGCGACGCCGACAACTTGATCCAAACTCTTAGCGACAAAGCACTGAATTTCAGTACCATCCTTTAATCATATAAAAATGAGGCATATTGTTAAAGATTAAGAAAAAAAATACAACATTGGACTTAACCCTCACCAGAAAAGTGGAGTCTGGTAACGGCTTTGGGATTCCAGAAAAACAGCAAAAAGAGAGGTGCACTCACAAAATAAAAATCATCAACTATTTCTGAAAAATAGTTCAAGGTTGGTATGTTGCCACGTTTCGTCTCGTCCAAAAGACTCATGAGGTGCCTCTAAGAGATTTTAGCAAACTCGTTGAGCGACGCTCATTTGAATAAATGCGTTACAAGACACACGAATGGGTATATCGAGATGAAAAATGCAATTGCTGAGACAAAAGAGGACAACCAATGCTTAATTTATAAGTTTAGTTACTATGATGTGATTCAGATGTTCGTCTTATCAACAGTAGTGGTCCAAGACGTCGAGAGATATTGAGGGTTGAGGGCGCGAGAATGAAATAAAATTGATATCAGATTAGCATGCAATAATATAATAACATAAAATTTATACGTTTATCTACTATGAAAACCTACCGGGTCTCTCCTATCATTATTGTATTGCTGAACATCTCTGCAATAAAAACATAGAGACAGCAGTCAACATCATGAGCATTGAGAATCGTGTTGCAAAATGACATTGTTGTTCACAGCGCTTTCAATAATCTTTTCCCTTGGTGGCTGTCGATGGTGCAAAAGGCCGCTTTGCTCTAAGGCCCAGACACAAAAACTTGCACGCGTGCTCAACAGACGGTGGTTAGAGGTCTTATGGGCAGCGGTAAAATGCTGGTGCCTCGCCTTAATTGAAACCTCTGTGTAAACTTGCAATATTTTTGCAACATTTTTTGGTGGATGTACTCACTGCATTATGATATCTGCGCCACTCAGTTGTGAGACAACAGATTGGATTCCTTCAGTGTCAGCCGAGGTACAGGGACTCACTTGAAACGATCTTCCAGAAGAAAAAGCACAAATAGTAAAAACACAGTTCTAAATGAATATAATATTGAACAACGAGATGTTGACAACGACAAAACATCATGTATGGATCACGAGACTAGAGCCTAATCTCCGTCGACTCGGGTGTAACGAATAAAACAAATCAAGTACAACATTTGGCTGTAAGGGAAGTCTTCAAAAAGCCATAAAATCCAAACAAAAAACAAGCGACAAGCTTGAGATAGCAAACCAAGTGTTCAGGTAGGCTTCAGATTCAAGTCCAAGGTCTGTGGGCATAATTGGTCGAATTACAAGATCACGTGCAGCGCGCGTGAACACAAACACACCAGGGGCAAAGGTAAAAATAATTGTAGTTCGAAATGTTATATTCAAGGAACTGACAAGAAAAATCTGACCACGAGTTTCCGAGATACCTGTTCAAACGATAAAAATAAAGAAGTCTAAAACGCAATATTTGGGAAATTTTCGTTGATTTCCTAACGTAAGCTAAGCCTGAACTTGAAATTCCAAAAAACAGTTAAGTAAATCTTGTTACGTACAAAAACTTAGAACTTACTCAATGAGACCCCATCGGTGAAACACATAAAGCTCTTGAGATAATGTGCTGTACTTTCTTGGAGTAACCCTCTGAAATAAAGGAACTGGTAACTTTAGCGTGAGTCATGAAGGAAAAACATGATCATGTGGATGAACATCTCTTGATGAAAAGTACTGCATGTGCTTACAATTAGACAGGACAATAAAACTACGCAATAACACTGCAACGAAAACGTACCACAAAAGACTGAAGAAGAGGGAACTCTGGTACAAGATGAGGCATTGTTAAAATGCAGTAGTCTTTTTCCTATTAAAAAAAATAATAATAATAGTAACAATAACAAATAGCGGTTCATTGGTCAACGCAATAAGATAAACCACTAAAATCCTTCCTCTCTGCGTTACTAAAGTTTCTCTGCAATCAGACAGTCCTGATATATTTACTTCATTTATCTTTTTGCCCTGTTCAGCTTCAGAGCTCGGCTGGTTTGAATAGTGGCCTGTATAAACAACAACATGGCCAGACCACAACACCGGGAGCCACGTTCAGTCCTTTTTGCGAAAAGTGCGTGGATTCTTTGACGTTCCCTGCCATAAAGCAGTACAGAGAAGATGCAAGAAACGGGGCCTGCGGTTTATCGTCCTTATCTGAGAGCACTAGAACGTCTGACCATTTGCAGATGTCCTAGCACAGGCACCACATTCTCCTAAGTTATTTTAAATCCCTGAGTGTTAGTCCGGCTGGGGCTTGAACTCAGTTGAACCCTGTCCGGCGCTCTACAACACTCTATTTACCACAAATACTAAAGTAAGCATTTGGTACTTACTGGAAATAGGTCAAACACCGCTGGAAGGAAATCTATAGACCTAAAAGAATAAACAACTATGTTTTAATACAATCAAGTGAAAAAGGGATACGCTAAGCTAATGTTTAACAGCAGAGGATAGCGTATTACTCGATTACACGCCGCCGTTAAACGCTGTTGTAGAAGCAAAATTACCTATGAACGCCGCCCTACTATAAACGCTGTACCCTCTGCGAAAAATGCAGCTTTTAGCCTTTTAACTCCCAGAAGTGATTAACATGTAATTTCCCCTTATCAAATCCGTACAATATCCAGCAAATAGGTCATGAGAAGACTCAAACTTATCAGGTAAAAGTTGTTATCCTGATCATACACCAAATTCTGGTAACATGTTTACAAGGAAATGTGTAGCAGCTAAAGAGGAGAATCTGTTATCAGATATTGAGACTTAAAGGTTAAAACACATATGTAAAATGACTAGAAGGGTAAAAGTCGGCATTATACTTCATCCTTGGAAACCAATATTAGGAAAGGGAGATATTGGAACTGAAAAAGTTCCTGTTTTACAAAAGAGATTTACTATCAGTGCCGTCAATTGTTGAAAAAGTATTTTTATAAAATAATTCAAATAGTACGCGCGCTCTGATTGGCCATAAAACCATTTTACATGAGCGTATATAAACACGGTTTTCGTTCCTCTTTCATTAGTTGGTTTCCTACGCTTATCTCGTGTTCTCCCAACCTCCCGCGTGTTTACATCAGGCTATGTAAACACGGAAACCATTTTACATTTCTTCAATGAAATACAATCCTTCCTTTAACAAAGACCTCAACAGAAACACTTGAGATTTTAATCGAATAAATACGGTAACATCAGATACACCGAAGGAAAAAATATGTAATTCTTTTTGTTACTGACCTCGTCTCGTATTTTTCGTCGATGCAAAAGAGTTGGATGCAAAATGCGCTTGGTTCTCCATCGGTTGCACCCTTTGATGCCTAAAAAAAATGAAACGTAAATTTAAGATAATTTTTAGGTCTCAAGAAGTGGAGAAGGATGTTACTCCTTCAGTCGTGAGCGTAGAGCAAGGAAGAAAACCGAATCCCCAACGAAAAATCAGCAGAGTTCCTTTGAAATATTTGGCAGGAGGTCAAAATTGATCCCCTGGCTGTGTTTGAAAATATCGAACCCAGACCTTCGGATACCGCGCCCTGATGCTCTACCATCGAGCTTTAAGCCGTGAGTAGGTTCATATGTGACACGCATATCCTGCATACTGCTACGATCAGAAATTTGCAGGTTTCTTTCAATTAGTCAGTACTTACTCTGGAGAGGCTGGCAGAGTGAGCCGGCACTTGTTCTTCAACTTTATCCTGCTTTGCTGAGTCTTTTGGTCTACAAAAAATACGTTCATCTGTTAAATAAACTGTGCCGTTTTACAAGGATTTCCAGCCCTGAGGAAAGCTGTCGCAGTTTGACATCATCAATCAGCTGCTGACTCGTCACTCGCCTTTCGCGACTCCAGGTCAGGTTAATGAATGAATGGCAAAGCGTTCACCATTTTCATATATTAATAAAGTCGACTTTTCTCGTTAGTAAAGGCCTATTGCGTTTATATAATAATAAAAAAAAATTATACACGGTTCCTAGTAGATATGGAATCTCTCTTCTCGTGTCCGACTCTGCATCTCTCTCGTTAGACATCTAGTTCAACTCTCGAAGAAAATATTTCATTCAACATGTACCCATGTATTATTCTCTATGTAAGGCGCATAAGTACCTCAGTCTTAGGTGCAGTAACACCCTGTTGCATAAGTCAGTGCTCAAGAGATATGAAGTCTAAGATAACCATAGCTCACGTACAAAACAGTAAAAATTGATCATTTAGTAATGAATCAGGTTCATGACAAATATAGAAGAAGATATGATAAATAGAAGTCAAAATCAAAACAGCTCACTCATAGCCGGTGGTAAAAGTAGTTGAAATGCTCTGTCTATAAGTATGTAGGTCAAGACCACCTCTAGCAGTTACTACATTTAACAGAAGTCTATTGAAGAAAGTTACAGAATCGCTCAAATGTAGCCTTTCGAGAATCGAGAATAAAGATTTATTGTTTCACGAATCGAGTTTCCAAATTTTAGTTTTGATAATCAAGTTTCGAGACACTCTTAGACGTAGTCCTCTTTGAGGATCCTGAACCGCAATTTCGAGGGAAAAATTCAATTCTCGGATGCACCTCATACAGTTATTTAAAAGAAAAAGAACAACAATCTAGTAACCTTTCTAAATCATTATCACTCGCTTGATTACTTACGTTTCTGTCCGTTCTTCTAATGGCGATGTTCTTTGTACCTGTTCGTCTGACGGTGTGACTCTTGGTTCTCTTTCAGGACTTGGTGCCTTTTCAGGACCTAGTGCTGTACATAACAAAAAATGAACGTGGGTGATTACCATTCAAGGATTCAAACTGATAAAGAAAAAATCGCCTCAGAGCAGAAAATAAAATTTCCCCTTCACGGTACGTATATCCACTCAAATCTTCTTTTGTTCGGACACTGTAACAATCTGACCGAACATAACTTGGATAAGATATTTCAAAATTAAGCAGTTTTTAAAACCTTTTTGTTTCTAGTTCTGTCATCAAATTTGGTTAGACATGGTCTGATTTCTCTTCTATTTTTCCAACACAGCGAATGTGATAGTTAACATATAATGTGGTTTGGTTTTATCAACGAAGTTAATAATGTAAATTGATCACCGTAAGAAAGTTCTAGAGCTGGCAACGTGAAAAACACAGTAGTGAAATAGCGGAAAGCGGTCTTTCCCCTCTAGAACCTCTTGAACAAAATATTATCTTTAACTCGCCGTTCTACATCGATCCTCAAGATACATGTATCAACGAATACTATTCATTCAAATAATTTATTCGTGTATTCCCTCCGAAGTTACGCTTAGCAGCAAAGAAATCGAAAGGATAAGAGCATGTGCTACTTACAGTCTACGCAAAGATTTTAATTGACAAATTAATAGCTAATGTACCTGGCGTTTGGCCTTGTAGTTTTTGCAATCCATTAAATGGCTTTAAGTCAAAACAGCTGCTCAGCAACTCTACATCAACTTTTGAACAGACGCTCATAAAACCAACAGCAGTGCCCTTCACCTTAAGAATCATAAAAGGATGAAGGAAGCTTAAGATAATTTTTTTTAACTAAGTAAGAACCCCTGAAAAAATTGTTTGTTTTCTTTAAATATGATATTATCTACCATTGTCTATCATTCTAAGAAATACAGTGTCATCAGTTCATGAGGTGATTAGTCTAAATGGAAAAATGAGTAGGGTTCTTCAGGGAATGTTCCAACCAGAGAAGTTACAAAAAGTACTTTAGGTCATAAATTTCTTCCCCAAGAGCTCTAGGATGCATCTATAGTTAATCACACCAAGTTTCAAACACTTCGCTTCCCTTTAAGCATGCTTCATCCCATCTTGAAGCATTTGTCTTTCTTAATAAAAGTGACAGGAACAAGCTCAAAGAGCAAGATACTTGTGGCAAAGGTAAAGTTGAATAAACCACAAGGAGTAACTATAGATTAGTTCTTGTCAGTAGCCATGGGAAATATACAGAGAATGTGTGAAGAACTTGTAGAGTGATCTTGGGTTAGGTATAATATTATGGGTTAGAGACTCCTCTGTGCTAATCTATCAACTTACATCAGCAACAACACATTTATTGTCTTCATCCTGAGCCTCTATAAGCTCTGCCAGGAAAAAGTCACCTGAAGGAAAAAAATAACAATCAGTCTATCAAATTTGAGCCTTGCATTGTATATCTCTTCCCAACTGGATGTTTTTTTTCCTTTTTTGGAGGGGGGGAGGTTGAAATTGCAATTGAAGAGGGGGGTGTGTTGATTAAGATGTAATTCTAACCCCCCCCCCCTCCAAAAAAAAAAAATGAGTAGCTGGAAGTTATATGCACATTTCTTCTGACATTATTTGAACAGGACCCTAATCAAGTTATTTAACCCTTAAAAAAGGAGACATACCATATGTAGATGTGAGGACATCACTTTGTCGATTAAAAATTGGTGTAAGATCATCATGATCCTCAACCCTGCAAGGAAAAGATTTTTTCAAAGGTGTGTTGAGTGATGGAAACATGAGCTGAGTTACTGTGTGCAGTGTCAATTTTATACATGTACACATATCACCATAGCTGGAAGGAAATGCACAATTTGCATCCATAGATATATACTGGTACACAGTGCCTGAAATAAGGAAATGACTGTTATTATTTAATACAGATATCTTAAATTTGCAACAGTAAATCTTACTTTAACTTCAAACCATTAAAATAAATAGTTGATTGAAAAAGGTTACATCATTCCTTAATACATGACTACCACACACAGATTGCCAGTCTTATGCATTGTCACTGCAAATTGTGTGGCCAAAATTCTTTCCTACTTGTCATGTAGATTGCAATGGTCCCAACTTGGAGCCCTGAAGTACATGTATCACAAAGCTCCTTTATGGAATGATGAACAAGCAATACCTGGAGAACCAGACCATCTTACCTTGCTGGTCTGATGTGTAATTTTGCACTGTGATCATGACGATGACACACTTGCAATTCAATACTCAATCTTCCAGAAAAACTCTCTTTAAATGCCACTGGCTTAAATAATTCAGTCAGTACTGGTCCTGCAAAATGGAGATTAACATACTAAATGTCATTAACATACTAAGATCAAACACAATTCACTTAAATTACCAATTACTCATTAATTATGACAGTGTCAGCCTTTGATCTAAGGGCTGGACAAGATTGCATGTATTGAACAATGTGTGAATTAACCAAAACTGCTAACTATGTTTACACTTAATTAAAAAGAAAAAAATGTCACCAAACAGTGCAGACCAAACTGCTTCCTAATCAGTGTTTCTACAATAACTTACTAAGAAAAGCAAGAGAAAAGAATATTGAAATGCAACATTATACATATACCCAATAAGACCTTACCCTTCAAGTACACCCTAACATTGTTAACACTTTGACACATGCTCAGTGTTTCGTTTACCCAGTGAAAAGTAAGAAGCCTGAGCCATGCGACCCAACAAGATGTCTGCGAGGGGTTCAGCAAGAACTACCAGTTAACCTCTCCCCAACTTTAATCAAATCTGCCCGTGGGAGGAGAAATGCATGTCTTGCACTTGCAACATAGGCTTACTTGTTGGTTAATAAGACCTTGAATCTCATCTTTAATAATTTTATCGACCATTTACATCCAAACATCAATATGCATATTCTCCATACTGTTCTCTACAAGTTTCCTAGGTTGCTGACAAGGAGAATTTGTTTAACAATCAAGAGCTTCTTTACTTGGTAATCTTTCCTTTATTCATGTGACCTAAGTGTGTGATTCAGGGCTAATATTGTAGGGTGAAATAGGGTGTGAGTCACTAGTACCTGAAGACATAGCATTTTATTCTTGTAATTTTTAAACAATTTTAGTTTTTTTCCCCATTTTCTCTGCTAGTTTTATCATATCTTTTAGAAATTTTTTACAAAGCACACACAATCATTATGTCATGCAGCATACACTATTTAAGTTTACAAATTATTATTATTACAACCATATAATACATTTTCATAGAGGAGTCAAATAAAAAAAAAAGAATGACATACCCTTGTAAGGGCAGTTCTTGCACTCAAGCAATATTACCCAATCAATTCCTTGACTATATGACTAAGTGTATAATGATAATTTATTTTTACTGGTAACCAGTATATTACCTGTCTCAACTCCTCTTGGTACAATGAGGAAAATATAATGAAGAGCTGGAACAGCATTGAAAACAGTTCTGTAAACAAAGAAAATAGCTCTCTTGGCTTATCAATTTTCAGGATAACAATTTGTTATTATACACACAAAAAAGACTAAATTAAGTCTGCATACACCTGTAACTCAAATGGTTGCCAGTCGACATGCCCATTTTTTTTACAGATTACTCAAAAACTCACCTGATAATTTCTGTTGCACAGCCATATGCAAAATCTGCCTTTGCTACAAAGTAGTTCATGAAGAGGGTGTTGAGAGGCTGGTTGAATGAAAACAATACAGACTGTAGTAATAGATTTGGATGATTAACTATTGAAAAATATACATAGCAATTTTATGTACAGAGGGTGATGACAACCACTTTCCAATGATTACAAATTAGAAAACTGAGAAGCTTGTAGTGGATCACCTTTTTATAATGCCTTTACCTCCCAAGGTATTATTAGTAATTCTCCTTACTGCCTGCCATACAGTTCTTGTAACCATAGTTTGGAGAATTAATTTTATTTTTGGATTTATTTTGGGAGGGGTGTTTGAGGGTGTTTGACTCTACACCCTATAGGTAGGTGCTTATTTAGGGAAGGTGCTTATTAGAGCATGGGTGCTTGTTTGAGGAAATAAATATTATCAAGAAATCTATTTCAGAATCAAAATACACTTACACTGCACTTTTTGCAGTCATATTTTGTATGAAACCATTCTTCCCATTTCCCAGGATCCAAACTTGGTAGATTGGGGTAATCAAAGAATGCTGCATGGCCCATGACATCATTGTTTGCATTAACCAATGTTACAGCCAAACTGGCTTTTTCACTGCAAAATTAATGGAAGATTATAGATTATATAACATTTAATCATGGAGTCAAATCAACCCTGAGAGAGTATACTCCTGAGAAGTATATTATTGAGTGTAGTGACTGACTTTTTCACAACAACAGCAGATCAGAAGTCATCATTAGAGACAAGTGAAAAGTTATTTGTCAGTCCAAAGGTCTACATGTATGTCTGGTCTCGCTTAAGTAACTTTATTCTGTTCAGTTTGTTTCTTATTTAAACTTCATGATTAAGTCATCTGTGTAATGGTGGTAGTTGAAGACATCTGTTAAAGGGAGTCTGCTCTAAGTTAGTGTTCAACCAGAGTCAGAGTCAGTCTAGATCCAGTTGTTGAAAATAGATTGTGCTGTAGCACAGAGTTCCAGTCAGTTGTATGATTCATGAATCAATTATGTGATAGATAGTTTCAGCTCATCATTTCTTTGATAATCACTGTTATATCACGTTGAAATGATCTGTAATTAACATTTGAACCAAGATTTTTCTTAATAAAATTATAACATCGGTACATTTTTATTAAATGGGTTATAATCCCTACCACATTAATTGAAGTCTACTTACATAACATTTACGACATTTACACGACCAAAAAGCTTTTCTGTTGTGGCGCTGACAAGTTTCAATATCTCTGGTGCATCCAAAGATTCTGTCCGGCGCGCCTGAATTACCTCCTGGGACGAATTTGAAGTCATGTTTCTACGACCAGCAAAGAAAACACATTTTTTGCATCAGCAAAAGAACACACAATCCTGACCCTATTTTTCTTCACAAGGCAATTGCTTTATGACGCAAAATTGCAGTAAAACGCAAAAATATGTTCGCGTGACTCTCTCTAGTTTGAAAATGTGTCTTACCAATACCTAAATCTGTTAAAGTTCTTCATGAAAATTCGTGCATTCAGCTCAACTTGTAACGCGAAAAGCAACCCCTAAAAACATTAGTTTTCTAATTATTTTCCTAAAAATGTCAGAAAAAGATAGAAAATGAGCGTAGATTACAGTTAGCATACACATCGGAGGGCAAACCGACCTTTCACGGTGAAAATTTCAAGAAATTCTCAAGTCCATTTCCTTCGCGCCATCATAAACTTTGACGGTCAACAACAAGGCGCCGTTGCTTGGAAACTAGACAGAGTGGAGACTAAAGCGACTAAGACCCAGTCTTTTGTAAGTCTTTTGTATACAAAGTTCTCAAGGTTTTCTTACGCAGCAATTTCATTGTAACCTCTACCAGTTCGAATTTTCAAAACGGCTTAATTCAGGATAATCTTCTGTACGATGTCATCTGGTAAACACTTTTCGCTAAACACTTTTTCAGGCACATTCCCTTTCTAACAGAATTGTTCCAGAATGAGGTAAGAAAGTAAGTTTCTGTGTATAGCTCTGAATATGAAAAGTCATATGTTTCAATCTACGTACGCTTTGTACTTTCTTGCTTAATTTTTTCAGTAGATAACCTAATGTCGTGGATGAATAATAAGATAGCCTATTACAAATGACTGGAGTGACAACATACGACTTCTGAAATTGATTTCACTTGATTTAATTATTTAACTACCTTCAAGGTGATTCCTCAGAAAAGAAGTTATTGGACAATTTTTTGTAAACTTTCCTTAAATGTTCCTTACCAATGTCTGTTTCGAAAAATACAATAAGAGAGATAGGTCATCTCGCTTGTTTAGGAGATATATGCGCCAAACTTACCCCATTTATGCCTGTACTGGCACTAATCATGCGCGTCATTTAAGCGGTTCGCTGTACATTTTGCTGCAGCTGGAAAAAAACTTGGTAGGCAGTAAGTCTCGAGTGTATCGAACAATTTCATATATAATTGGGGGGAATATTATGCAAATTTAAACGATATCAACTCAAAATGTTCCTCGAGTCATTCCTTTCAGGGTCATAATTTGCTTCATTGAGTAACGGACTTTGTGCACCAAAATTATGGGAAATAAAACATGGTCACTGTGCTCATTTAATAGGTAAAGACCATTGCACCTCTTTACCTGGTCCATTGATTGATAAACAATACCATGTTCTCAGAATGCGCATGTGCTTATTGGCTTGATTAGGGAGTTTAAGATACGGTCACTACGGACTACGGACTACGGTAATACACGGCGAGGACCTAGTTCGAGATTTACTGCGCATGCTCGATAGCACGTGGGTTTCGCAGTCCGTCGTGTGGGTGCAGGCTACGGGGAGTAGTCGAGGAGATTCGCGTAGTGAGGACTACGTAAGTATTTTTTTGCCGATTTTTGACCAGTTTTGTTTTCTAAACGCTACTTTTATGTTGAACAGTCTTTAGGCAATTAAAATTGATCATGCACAGCTCTGGCACCGGACGTCCAAAAGTTGAAATTAAATCGAAATAGCGGCATGGGTATGCTAGTCGTTTTAGCAGTAAACAAAGTCCTTCTAAGCCACTGCAAACTGTTCCTTGTGGGCACTTGAAACTCGCCGGAATCCGCAAGGCGTTCACTAACATCGGAATATCATCCTTGGCCACACTGAAGTGAGCTTCGCACTCGCAAGAGTCGAACACATCCAAACAGAATGGATCAAAATTCCAGTACGGAAATGAAGGATTAACGGGTTGGTAATAATCGTAAAGAACAATAAACTCTTCATCATCCAGAAAACCATCCGCATAAGCGATTAAAAGGGCGTTTCTAGCATCTTCGAAGGACATTTTTTTTTCCAAGTGCAGCCGTAGTCCGTAGTCGTTGTCACGATCTTAACGTCAAACAACACTCCAATTTTCGCGCCCTTTTAGCGTAGTCGGCCCAGTCCACGCGTGGCTTGGATTCTCACGCCCAGACGTAGTCCGTAGTCCGTAGTGACCGTATCTTAAACTCCCTATTATGTGATATTATGCACAGTACATTATGTGCAGTGCTGTAATGAGGAATCACCTTAACACTTTAACTCCTAAGATCTCATTAGTAATTCTCCTTACTGTCTGCTATGTAGTTTTTGTGATGAAAGTTTGGAGAATTTGGTATTGGATCAACTAGTAATTCCCAAATTGATATTTTTCTTTATTCTCATCACTTGTCTGCTTGATATTGTATTGATATTGTAAGGAGAAATTCTGTCTTGGTCACTCATGGGAGTTAAAGGGTAAAACTAGTCCAATTTGGCTGGGACAGCCTATGCATGATATATATGCAACCTTGAGAACTCAAGGTCTCACATAAACAATTATGAGGTTTGAAATGATTTTAATTGAGGCCAGTCATCTGTACATGTGTTGCTCTGTGTCAGAGTAGGCAAGATTTCTGTGTAACCCATAGATCATTATACACACAGTTATAAGAACATAGAAACATTGGCATAAACAGTGCACTGATTTTAGGACTACATCTTTAAAGTATGGGGTCATAGGGAAATCTTTCCTTTAAGTGTTCATCTAAAGGATTCTTTAACTCTTCTTGACCTGAGACATTTCCTTTGTCTTATGTACTTCAAATTTGATGACGATGATGATCAGGGTGTTCATCGTACATTGTCACTTATCTAACTTTTAGGACTTTGGCTTTGTCATAGAATAATTTGGGGTTATATTTCTCCTCAAAGTGCTTGAGTGTTTATGTGAAGGATTCTTTAACTTGTCTGAAGCTAAAATATTTCCTTTGTCATATGCTTTTGAAATACAATGAGAGTTGATTGAGTAAAAGAGTAGATTCTTTCAACCATTACACTCCCAAGATCTCATTAGTAATTCTCCTTACTTTCTACCCTAAAATTCCTATGATGTTAGTTTTGAGAATTTGTTATTGGATCAACCAATAATCCCCTAATTGATACTATTCTTTATTCTCATCACTTGTCTCCTTGATTTTGTTTTGATATTATTATAATGATAAATTTTCACTCTTGAGAGTTAAAAGGTTAAATATGTTGGGGTCTTCATAACACATTGTCACTTTCTTGTAAAAACTCAGGTAGAATTTTTTGTTATATCCATTCTTTGGTCTTGTTAATTTTTTATAGAAAACATCTCTTTTGTGATAATAACAAAAATAACAGAAATTTTCATAGTTTTAAGAATAAGACGAGGATTTAAGTTTATAAAAGTATTATTACAAGACCCACGTAAAGAAGACAATCATGAGAGCCAGGAAAATATTATAACTCCTGACTCTCTGTGGGACTTCTTTTAGGTAAGTCTTCCAGTCTTTGAAACTTCAGAAAACCTCACGCAAATGATCACAGACAAACTGCAGAATTATCGTACTGTTGCTAATGCGATATTTCTTTCGTTGAACGAAGCCTTGCAGTCGATGTGTATCTTTTAAGCTCGAGCCTTTGTCAGCTGTGAATTTTTGGAGTTTGCCTTCGATAGGAATAAAGTCAAGTATTGTCATACTGACACCTAGTCTCGTACCCAGACCATCCACCGCCAAGCGGTTGTACATTTCAGTTACAGTTAAACGATAGGATCTGGTTACGAGATTAACCGACACCTCAAAGGGTACAGGATCAATCGAAAAGGATAAATTTGGATCCGAGAATTCCAAGTTGTTCGCAAACTTAATACGGCTAGAATTTCATTTATTTGGTAGCACAAGCGCCGCGACTTGTGATGAATTTCGAGACATGCGGCACGTAAACATAAAATCGATCGACCAAAAAAAAAAAAAAAAAAAAACAGTTTGGGATACAGGTGAACGAGAATTTCGAAAGTATTCACAAATTACAGGTTGTAAAATGAAATCGCTTGACTCTTAGTTCGGTTTTTTTTATTTTTTTATTTTTTTATCAGGAACAGATCTTTGGATAACGCTTGTTATCGGGAATACACAGACGCCGTGAAGATGCTAAGGCGAATGTGACAAAAAAGTCGGCTTTGTTTGGGCCTCTTGTTATGCAAAATGGTTTTAAAGTGTGATCTACTAATGAGCTTCTCTAAACGCGTTTGCGTTTGCGTGGACACGCAAACGCTAACGCGTTAAGTTCAAAACGCCAACGCGTTGGCTCTGCGTGGGGAACGCGTTGAGTGGTTCGCTTATCTTCGAATGGTACTGTAGGTTACCTCTCAGCATTTAGTCAGGCTTCCTCAACTGTTCATTTGCATCCATTTACACTCCTGGGTGGACGAGGCACTGTGATCACAGCACAATGACCCAACCAGATCTAGATCCCAGACCTCTAAGTATTCTGAGCGGTTCTATGGGTTGAGTGGTCTTGAAAACGACTTGAATCTATTCCAGATTCTAAAGAGACAAATGAGAAGAACTCGTGTCTTCTCCCCTCAAGCCGAGAGACGTTTGCACAGGGAACTGCATTCAGTATGCGTTTCGAAGTGCATTGTAGGCGCAACACGGGTCCTAAACGTAGCCCAATAGATTGGAAAAATTTTGGAGGACAGAAGAAAATCAAATATGCTAAAGAATACTTCAATCTATAAAAAGTGCTCTTTAAAGTCTGAGAGGCAACAGAACGAATGTTCCACTTTATAAATCGAAATCCTGTTGAAAAATGCTCTATGACTTCTATTGGGAGAATACCAAAGTCAGGGAGATGGTTATCTGACCGTTGACATATTTTATTCGATTATGAAATGGCTGAGACTTTGCGTTCGTCCAAGGAAGTTTAGAAATATTGAACGATGTAGAATTAAGACCAAGATAAGTAAACCTATTGTCAAGTGTCTTGCTTAAGAATATGGCAAAACCTGCACCTCTTTC